AAAACCCCACGGTAACACTAAAGTTCGTATACGAATTTTAACATGCAAATGAAGACTTTAATCAGTTCATGTATGTGCTACGTCACAGTGTTATAGTTGCTATACAGAACACAGCAATTTATACGAGATTTTCATGTGCATACACACTTTAACCGTTTTAGCTTCACGGTGCACTTGGCATGGCGTTCAGGAAAGAGTAATCATCTCATAAAAATATTGAATTTGTATGAAAACAACCGTTACAATGCGTAAATATACCGTTATATTAGGACTGCTACTTATAGCCATGTTTGTTGATTTAATATCGACGTACGGATGATCCGAAGGCGGAGTTTCTCATGCAAATTCCGATTTCGCCACAATGAGGTCGCAGATGTTTATGCTTATAAGACTCATTTTGGTTGCCTTGACACCATAATAAGATCTGGAGTCGATATGAAACCAAATTTACTAATGAAATGTCGCTATTTCTGTTTTTAAGAAATTCATTTAATGTAGCTTTAAAATGAGACAACTACTTATCAAGTTTCAAATTTGTTAAAACATTTATGTAAATTAAGTGTAACTTGATTATACCATAGGTCTTTCATAAAGTTACATTAAATAAATATGTAAAAATATTTTTCCGTCGGCCTAAAAATCATACATTCTACAGTTTCATTAACCTGTTTAAAAGTTTTGTTGTAAATCTCATCAAATATTATTCATAAATTAGGATTTTAAACGGGAAACCCCACGGTAACACTAAAGTTCGTATGCGAATTTTAACATGCAAATGAAGACTATAATGAGCTCGTGTATGCGCTACGTCACAGTTTTATAGTTGCTATCCGGAACACAGCAAATGTGATATTTTCTTGTGCAAACACACTTTAACCGTTTAAGCTTCACGGTGCACTGAACCTGGGGTTCAGTAAAAGTAATCATCTCATAAAAAGATTAAATTTGTATGAAAACATCCGTTACAATGCGGAAATATACCGTTAAAATAGCACAGCCACTTATAATCATGTTTGTTGATTTAATATTGATGTACGGATGATTCGAAGGCGGAGTTTCTCATGCAAACAGAAATTGTACTTCCCATTTCGCCACAATGAGGTTACCTAATTTTATGCTTATAAAACTCATTTTGGTTGTTTGGACACCAAAATAAGACCTGGAGTCGATATAAAACCCAATTTATTAATGAAATGTCGCTATTTAGTTTTTTATGAAATTTATTAAATGTAACTATTAAACGTTGTATTATACATCGGCCTCCTATATCATACAATATGATATTTTAGGACCACAGTAGAAATAACAGATTAAAGGCCCATTATGTCCCGGATTTGTTGTAAATTTCTACTTCTTATAAGAGTTTCTTTTCTTTTTGCTTTTTTTTTATTCCTTTTTGTTGTTCTGTTATGATTTCTAACAAGTTATTCATTGGCCTATTACCTGATTTTTTTTTCATTTGCATTTTTGATAATTAGTAAATTAATAGTGATTGAGTATTTTGAATGGAAGTAAAATACAACTTGTATATATTTTTCTACTTTACCCATCTGGAACAGTTATTCAGACATTATAAAACTCGCGTTTGCCCTTTCTAAATCAAGAAAAGAATGTACCTTTCTGTGTGCCTTTAACTTTAAAATTCTTAATTGGATAATATTTAAGAAAATGTAATGGTAATAAATATAGCTTTGTTTGTACATGCATACTTGTTATTTATTGTTTGTACATGCAAATTTATACATTTTTGAAGTTGAATTGTATCATAGTTTGGAGAGTGTGCGCACAGTGAGTGACCTGGAGTGCAGGTATAAGTTACCAGCATTGTATGTCGCGGATAAAGATAGAGTCTATGCTCCTTGATTTGTTTCATTTTCTTCTGGGGTTTCATATTGTGATGACAGGGAAAAGAATAACGATAGAAAAGTCATATTAAGCTGCTCGTACATTGGTTACTTTTTTCTAGGGTTTCATACTGTGACGGCAGAGAACGTGTTTTTTTTATTTTTGCATATGATAAAAAAGAGAAAGACCATCAAAACACTCGGGTTTCTTATTCCTACTATGGAGCTACACCCCCTCATATAAATCAGATATCCTCCTGATTTGATGCTCTTTCCATTACAAAAATATATTTATTTTAATCCACTACGATAGTATCAGTTTATTTTATAAGGAAATTGTAAACAAGTCAAACTTTACATTACGTTATTTTAATACTAAACATAAATCAAGCGATCACCCACTCATATATTAGTGGCTTTTTTGTTTTAACGTCACGTAGAATATTTGAGCCGCGTCACGACAAAACCAACATAATGCGTTTGCGACCAGCATAGATCAAGACCAGCCTGCGCATCCGCGCAGTCTGATCAGGATCCATGCTTTTCGCTATCAGTTTCTCTACTTGTAATAGGGTTTGTAAGCGAACAGCATGAATCCTTATAAGACTGCGCGAATGCACAGGCTGGTCTGGATCCATGCTGGTCGCAAACGCATTACGTTGGTTTTTTTGTGACGCGGCTCATTTCTCTGTTTTCAAAGCATGCATCGTTTATATACTTTAAGAAGATTTATACAGATCAAGAACCTGACTGAAACTCTTAAAAGTGCACATTTTATCAAATTGATAAGATAAGTTTGTGATGTCAATATAATATATTCAAGTTACTGAGCAAACAAAAATTTGACACGAAGTGATATTGTGACCTTGACCTTCGACATTATGACCTAGCTATTGGGCAATTTCCGTACAAAAATTCGGAAATTTGCGCTTATTCGGTTTCGGTTTTTACTTTTTATAAACTATTGATACAGTAATCAAAAAGACATATAAAAAGATATATTCTTAAAAGTTCAAAGCATGTCTAAAAGTAGATACAGAATCGACATTACTCTCTATAAAACAACGAAAGTAAGACTGCAAATAGTCCCCTTGTAGCTATATAATACTGTATCTTATTTAGATTGATGTCATTTTATAAATAACGTACTTTGTAAACTATTTACAGTCGCTGAAAAGTCTTGTACTTGTGATACAGGTAATATCGGGATGTAAGTAGTTTAACATTATTGTTCACCCGATACCCGCTTTCGGCATTTAGTCAAGCGTTAAACATATATTTCTTCATACATTCCTTCATTATTTTATTTTACAATCCCATAGGTGGAGTTAGTCACAGTCATGGCGACCTGAAGACACCATATTTGTTATGAATAACTGCCCAGTGACCTTCTAAACAAGCTATAGAAACCATGTATCTGTTTTTGAACACTTTTTAATGTATTTATGTCGAAATTATCTACATAAAAACAAATTGATTGTCTCGTCGACAAAAATATAAAGATGTAAGGCATATTGCATATAACAACGGTATATGGGTAGAAATGGCTAAATCTCGTGTTCTTTTTTTACAGTCACACAGGTGAGCAATCCAGGACTGCTTTTGCTTTTTTCATGAACTAGTATAAAGTTGTCAGTAACTCGTTTTATATATGGATTTTAATACAATTTATTTTGTTCAGTTAATAACCAGTTTAAAAATATTTCAGACATATACCTATGACATATTTGTGGATATTGTAATATAGGCTTATTTATAGAGGTATGTGTTCATAATATTTCTACCCCAACAATTAAACGAATAAATGCATCTTGTTCATTTTGAGAAAATATACCCGTTATATATTTGTTTCTTTTCATTTATAGTCACATAATAAATTGAGAAGTTAAGTGATTGAATTAAGTAGTATGATTGAAAGTATCAAATTGTGCTCGTTTTTCTCTGCATAATTATGATGCACCCAATAACATCTCCACCATTTCTACCATTTCTGCACAGATGCAAACCTTTCGCAGCTGTTCGTGTTTATTGCTCATATATACGCATAGCATTTAAAAATGTCTATTGTCTAGCCTTTCAAGCTTTATTCAAAAGCTTATCTTCTTTTCTTTCAATTTCATGCTCAATCATTAACAAAAAATCTCAAACAATGTACTTATCAATTAAAAATAAAATATAAATATCACTCTATTTTTGCCTATCGGCCAAACTGGTTAAGTCAAATGCTTTACAGATTGATTCCAATTTTTTGAACGAAAAAATATATTCGAACACCCTGACGGTGCATGGGCAATTATTTCGTTAAAAAATATTCCGTTAGAAACTTCTGACTCAATTAAGCGCTTGCATTTGAATTAGCCAATCAGAATTCGCGCACTGTATGCCAGTCATTTGTTTATCGGCTGTACAAGATATTTAATTAAATGAGAGGATTTAATCATGATTTTTCGGATGTGACAGTTTAATTATTTTATTAAAAGGTATTGATTTTTTAGTTTTGTAAATACACACAAATTGTTTAAATGCATTAGATCTAAATCGAAGTCTAATGTAAATATTGTTTGCTACACGTTTTTGCAGTGATCTGTTAAGACCTAATCGTAACATGGAAAATGAAAAATGTAAAATATCAGATTAATGAATGATAATACGAAATAGGTTACGTATAGGTCTTATAATTAGGACTACTTGTTGCCATGATTTAATCAGATATTTTATTATACGACTGTAGTCTATATATAATTGTATCATAGTTTTGGGACCTTTCTGTTGAAAAAGTGTCAGAGTTAAATCGTATACATATAGATGCACAGTGCGTTAACCGTTAACTGGAGTGCAGCACTCCAGAGCAGCCAATTGATTGGCTCATTTTTGCTGGGGTTTACAAATTATGACGGCAGAGGAAGGGAAAGCGAAAGAAATATTGTATTCAGATGCTCGTTCATTGGTTCCTTCTTTCTGGGGTTTCATATTGTGACAACAGGGAACGTGTTTTTATGTTTGACTATGATACAAAAGAGAAAGAACATCAAAACACTCGGCAATCTGATTTATACTCGGGGGGGGGGGGGGGGGGGCTACGCCCCCCCTCGTACAAATCAGAAAGCCTCGTGTTTCGATGCTTTTTCTATTACGTATACAATTAACGCCTTACAGAATAAAATGGAAGTAACAGAATCTGAAATTTCAAACTTTACTGTTGATGAAACATCCAAACAAGGGAAGGAAACCGGCCGGGGAAAGTCAACACATGGGATACCAACATTACGTCAGACATGGGGTTCGCAACTCGACTTTATTATGACGTCAGTCGGCTGTGCTGTGGGTCTAGGCAATATTTGGCGTTTTCCATATTTGTGTTATAAGAATGGGGGTGGTAAGTATATATACATGTTTTGCTTTAATCTAACCGACATAGCTCATTAAATGTAAGTAGTAATTAAAGTTAGTAAGTGTTTGAATTACTTTTGTCCAATAGAATCATAAAATGCTCAAAGAAAACAAATCAAATGTGAAATAAACACTTTTCTGCGGTAACGGCGATTTCGTGATGAGGCAGCGAAGTTACGCTGATTACCTACCTAATAAAATGTGCATTAATCACACTTTCTCAATACCTAATATTGAAAGCAATTAATTTTTATATGCATTATTGTACTTTCAAGAAAACGCCTTATGACCTCATTCTCGCCAATGATCTTGAAAAACAGACTTTTATCGATTACGATCAAGTTTACTGGTCCGTTTAATTACACCTTGCATCTTTTAGAATAGAAATTGATAGATTTAGTAAAGATTGTGTATCTATAAAATTATTTATCAAATATTATAATCTTCAACTTGATGATCAAAATTTCATATTTGCTCCAGAATCCAGTCTGAAAGCAGCAACGACTCCTCATACAATCGCTTATCATGCATGATAATCTAATATACTAACAACGATTTATATGCAAAGTTCTTGTCGGAGAATGTAATTTGATTTAACAAGGACAATGTTAAATAATATAACCTACGATAACCCTGAAATAATAATAGTATATATCGTCATGGTCATGGTGTCGTAACTTCGTGTATTTATTTTGTTATAACGAGATCGCTTTACCGCCAGTACTGGATCTCCCTTCTCAACATCGTCGTAACAAGTATTGTGTTTCAGATAAGTTTATACAAAACCTATGGTTGTATAACAATTCTGTCGTTATATTATATATTATGGTTGCGTTGTAATATATTTCATGGTTGCGTTATAATATCTTATGGTTGCGCTATAATATATTTTATGGTTCTTTTATGATATATTTTATGGTTGCGTTATAATATATTTTATGGTTGTGTTATAATATATTTTATGGTTACGTTATAATATATTTAATGTTGTGTTATAATATATTTTATGTTGTGCTATAATATATTTAATGTTGTGCTATAATATATTTTCATGGTTGCGTTATAATATATTTTATGGTTGTGTTATAACATATTTTATGGCTGTGTTATAATATATTTTATGGTTGTGTTATAATATATTTTATGGTTGTGTTATAACATATTTTATGGCTGTGTTATAATATATTTTATGGTTGTGTTTTAATTTTTTATGGTTGTGTTATAGTATATTTTATGGTTGCGTTATAATATATTGCATGGCTGTGTTATAATATATTTCATGGTTGCGTTATAATATATTTTATGGTTGTGTTATAACATATTTTATGGTTGTGTTATAGTATATTTTATGGTTGCGTTATAATATATTTTATGGCTGTGTTATAATATATTTCATGGTTGCGCTATAATATATTTCATGGTTGTGTTATAGTATATTTTATGTTTGCGTTATAATATATTTTATGGTTGCGTTATAATATATTTAATGGTTGCGTTATAATATATTTTATGGTTGAGTTATAATATATTTCATGGATGTGTTATAATATATTTTATGTTTGCGTTATAATATATTTTATGGTTGCGTTATAATATATGTCATGGCTGTGTTATAATATATTTTATGTTGTGCTATAATATATTTCATGGTTGAGTTATACTATATTTTATGGTTGTGTTATACTATATTTAATGGTAGCGTTATAATATATTTTATAGTTGCGTTATAATATATTTTATGGTTGAGTTATAATATATTTCATGGATGTGTTATAATATATTTTATGTTGTGCTATAATATATTTCATGGTTGTGTTATACTATATTTTATGGTTGTGTTATAGTATATTTTATGGTTGCGTTATAATATATTTTATGGTTGCGTTATAATATATTTTATGGTTGAGTTATAATATATTTTATGGTTGAGTTATAATATGTTATAATATATTTTATGGTTGTGTTATTATATATTTTATGATTGTGTTATAACATATTTTATGGCTGTGTTATAATATATTTTATGGTTGTGTTATACTATATTTTATGGTTGTGTTATAGTATATTTTATGGTTGTGTTATAATATATTTTATGTCTGTGTTATAATATATTTCATGGTTGCGTTATAATATATTTTATGTTTGCGTTATAATATATTTTATGGTTGCGTTATAATATATTTAATGTTGTGTTATAATATATTTTATGGTTGTGTTATAATATATTTCATGGTTGTGTTATAATATATTTTATGGTTGCGTTATAATATATTTTATGGTTGCGTTATAATATATTTAATGTTGTGTTATAATATATTTTATGGTTGTGCTATAATATATTTAATGGTTGTGTTATATATATCACTATTATTTTATGGTTGCGTTTATAATATATTTTATGGTTGCGTTATCCATAATATATTTTATGGTTGAGGCGTATATAATATATTTTTATGGTTGCGCTTTATAATATATTTCATTGGTTGTGTTATGGTATATTTTATGTTGTGCTTTTAATATATTTAATTGGTTTGTTGTTAATACCTATATTTTATGGGTTGGTTTTTGTATAAAAACATAAATTTTATGGTGTGTTTTTTTTTTTGCGTTATAAATATATTTAATGGTTGCGTTATAATATATTTAATGTTGCTGTTATAATTATATTTTATGGTTGTCTCTGCATATAATATATTAGATGGTTGTGTTATACTATATTTTATGGTTGTGTTATTATATATTTTATGGTTGCGTTATAATATATTTTATGGTTGCGTTATAATATATTTTATCGGTTATGCGTCTATAATATTTTATGGATTGCGTTATAATATATTTTATGGTTGAGTTATTAATATATTTTAGGTTGTTGAGTTATTATATGTTATAATATATTTTATGGTCTGATGTTCATTAATATTAATTTTATAGTGGTGTGTTTATAATATTATTGTTTATGGCTATGAATCATATATAAATCATTAATCTTTGAAGAGCTTGAGGACTAAAATAAAAAAAGATAAAACATACCTTTTATAAAAATGGCCAGAATAAAAAGGTATAAATACTGTGTTCTTTTGAGATTCAAGTAATATTTAAAACAATTTAAATGTTTATATACTCTTGATAGTACGTTACCGACCACATAATTTTATTTCATTTATTTCAGGGCGCAGTTTCCTGAAATTCTCCTATATAACAAATTATCATTCTCTTCTAGGTAGCAGCGACGTCCGTATCACATATATAGCGCTGAAATATCAGCCTTTGGGTCAGTATCATGACCTCTGGTGTAGTACTATATACAGCATGGAGAAGACTGAATCCCTTGATATTCAAGGTGTAAAAACATTGTATATATTTAGATTTCGGATGTAGTACAAGCCATGGAAAATAATCCCTGTATTTCAAAGTAAAAAACATTTATATATTATTTGGTGTAGTACAAGCATGGAAAATGATCCCTGTATTTCAAGGTAAAAACATTTATATATTATCTGGTGTAGTACAAGCATGGAAAATGATCCCTGTATTTCAAGGTAAAAACATTTATATATTATCTGGTGTAGTACAAGCATGGAAAATGATCCCTGTATTTCAAGGTAAAATCATTTATATTTATTTAGTGTTATTCTAACAAGCATGGTGACAAATAGATTCTCTGTGAGTATTCAAGGAGTATATAAAAAAACAGTTTATATAATTATTTGGTTTCTGCTCTATCTACTAATGCGGCATCGGAAAATAATCCCTGTATTTCAAGGTAAAAACATATTATATATTAATTTGGTATTTCTGCTAGCTACAAGCATGCGAAAATGATTCCCTGTATTTATCAAAGCGGTAACATAAACACTTTATATATAACTATCTGGTTGTTGAGTACAAGCATGGAAAATGATCCCTGTCATTTCCAAGGGTAAAAACATTTATGTAAATCATCAATATCTGGTGTAGTACAAGCAAATGAGAAATGATCCCTGTAACTCGTTTCAATGTGGTATATATAAAACATTAATATTTAATATAACTATATTCTGATGTACTTCAGTTACAAAGCATGGAAAATATCCCTGTGATTTCAATGTGGTAAAAACATTTATTATATTATCTGGTGTAGTACAAGTCATGGAAAAAGATCCTTGTATATTCAATAGTAAACATTTATGATATTATCTGTGTAGTACAAGCATGGAAGAGATGAATCCCTGATATTTCAAGGGGTCAACTTTATATATTATCTAGTTGTAGTACAAGCCATGAAAATGAATCCACCTGTATTCAAGGTAAAAACATTTATAATATTATCTGGTAGTAGTACACATGGTGAAGGAAAGATCCCTAGTAGATTATCAATGTAATAAAACATTTATTATAATTAATCTGAGTGTAGTACAAGAAATGGGAATTAATGATCCCTGTATTTTCAAGGTTAAAAAAAACAGTTTACTAATATTATCTGGTTGTTAGTACAAGCATGGAAAAATGATCCCTGTATTATTCAAAAATAGGTGTAATAATCTATTTATATGCTACATACTTGGTGTGTATCACCTAGCATGGGAAATGATATCCTGTATTTTCAAGGTAACACAGTGTTTTATATATTAAACTGTATAAGTACAAATCATATTGAGAATTAATAATGAATCCTACTTACTGAATATATACAAAATCATATATATTATAACAACGTGTATTGGATTTTCCCTTTAATATCATATAATTAATCTCGGGTGTGATAATGTACTAAGCATGTCCAATATTTAAAATTGAGAGCTATATATGATCCTTGAATTATAATTCTCAGGGAGTTATAAAAGAAAACACTAAGCATTTTATATATGATTTAAACAAATGCGATACGTAGCTTCTGCTAGTAATCACACACGACACGAGAACCAATGGAAATACAAAGATCCTCTAACACCTATTTGCAATAAGTGTAAACTAATTTTTGTTTATTTCTCATTTAATTCTATCTATGTGGAAAGGTTAGTACAAGCTACTGAAATATTTAACACGCCGAGTAATATTACGAGACGTTGATAAACAATTATGGACTTTAACAAATATTTGAATCGTATGTATAGTTACAAGGCATGGGAAAATTATTCCCCCTTGATATATATGCTTCATAAGGTTAATATATCAGTTAGATATTTTAACTGCGATTTTAATCTGAGGTACATTAGCATGCGTGTGATATATAATTGATCCCTGTATATTTCTATCAGAGGTATCATATATGATGATCATCAATTTGTGACTTCCTACTTCTATAATGAATAATGGATAAAACAAATGGGTATGAGAGAGGTATAACCTAACACCCTCAGAGATTCAACGCCTTTCTACCACCAATAATAGTATGCCATACTGCACAGGACAATGATGATCTGCAAGATGCAAGTGTTTTGTAGTTGTCGTAATAAAAAAGCATACCAACGTCACAACCCAATTTGCACAACGCGAAAGTGTCATCGTGACAAACGCGACGGTGCACCACCGACAATATTGATGCCTAAGCTCGATAATATGCGAAAATAGACGCTGACAATTTGGGTATTAATTTTTGTAATAATTCAAAGTGTTGGTCTTTTGATCGCGACATTTTCCAAACGACAATTCAATATTTCGTTTAGTATTGGCGAGCGTTGCTTCACAATGTAGAGAGTCGTTTTACGTTTTTGCGATATTACTTTAGCGTATACACATGTGAGTTGTTTATCTTGCTACAAACACGACAAAACCACATTTTTAGATGTACCACGAAAAGTTGCGACCTCCGTTAGTTATGATTTGCACATGGCTTATTTCTCAACGTTAAATAAAAAGTAGCAGCTTACTAAATTCGAATTAAGACGATTGTTGTGTGATATAAAGTTATGTTATGATTTTTGCATGAGAAGTATTCAGTGTACCACATTTGAACGTTTTTTTTTTACGGTGGCACAAAGATGGCATGTGTGTGTTTTTATTTTTTCTCCCCCTGCACTCGAGGCCCCGGAACCTAAGTCGTCGGCCCCCCCCAGATCCCCCTGTCGTGGCCCAAAGTTTTTTAGCCCCCAAACAGATAACACCCCCCCTTTATAAAAATTTTCCTCATTAAAAAATGACATGTGGGTATAGTAATAAGGAAGGCCCCCCCCCAAATTCCCCCAAACCTTTTAAAATCCCCCCTTTTACCCCCTTTAAATTTCCGGTCAATAAAATTTTTCCCTTTAGCCCCCCCTCCCAAAAAAATAAGTTCATCCCACTGGTAAGGTGCAATTTATCTTTCTTGGTTTATAAAACCCACTTTTCCCCCTTTTAAAATTTTTTCATCAGACATTGGGTTTTACCTTTTTAGGGGTATCTTTCTTTTCCTTTGGGGAATGTCCCTTCCCAAATTTAAAAAAAACCCAGGGGCTTTATTCCCCTTTGAACGTTTTTCGTAAAAACAAGGTTAACAGGCCGTAGTTTGTACAAAATGACCCCTTTCGGTCACAAATAGTCCCAACAAAGGGGTTTAGTCAAAATTATTGGCTTTATGGGGGCCCTTTGGGGGGGGGGACTTTCTAATATGAAACCTAAAAGACAAAAATCCCCCTGAATATCTTTTAGTATTTAAAAATTAAAGTTGCATGTAAAAATAAATTGTTATAAATATTTGTTTCTGGGTTTGGGTTTAATTTTTCTCGGGGCCGATGACTTTTTACTCGTTAGGTACCACCCACTTTGTAACTCTTCGGGCCCCCCGACATAGTTCTCGTGGCCCCCGACTAAAATCACTCGTTTCCCCCGGGCATAGTAATTTCGTGGCCCCCGGAAATTAGCTACTCGCGGAACGACTTATTAAAATCTGGACGACATGTATCTCGGCGCACGAGATAAAAAAAAAACACACACACATGTCACATTTGTGCCACCGTAGATTGTATCCTCTAGTGTAAAATGTATTCATTTAGACAACAAAATGTATACAATTATATAAGTAAAATGTATAATGCATAAACTTACCAAATTAAATGCATACAAATTGAATAAATGCATTTAATAGGTGTTAACATGAAAGCATATAAAGTGTCTACACAAAGTTATTAATTCATTAAAAACCCGTAAATTGAGATTTCATTTTATTTAACTTGTTTATTTTACAGGTCTTGGTTTCGCAGCACAGATTATATTGTTGTATACGACCATTTATTACATTGTCGTCGTTGCCTGGGCTTTATATTATATAGCAGTGTCCTTCACCTCACAGTTGCCATGGGCTACGTGTGGAAATTATTGGAACACAGAAAGGTAGTATCAAAATCCTATTGTGTCTATCTCATATAAATATTAAAGCCGTAATTATACTTGGTTGGTGCTTACCATCATCCCTCGGGTTAATAAGGTCTTCCTGTCTTGAACCCTTTTTTACAATTTAAATATTAAAAGTGGTTCTTCTGAAACAACTAATAATGGGGAAATAGCCAAACAAATTTTCCCAAGAGTTATTGCATACAATGTAACAAAATTTTTTATGGTTTTCCTTGTATTTTTCAAGGATTTAAAAAGGAAAATTTCAGCACTGGACATTTTAATAAGGAAGGGGATTTGTTGATATATGTCTTGAAATACATGATAAAATTTTTTAAGCAAATTTTTCCCCCAAAATCGAAATTTTTTTTTTAAACGTTTTTTTGATAAATGGTTTTTTTGTTTTCCCCGTACTAAAAAATGTAATGAAAAATGTTTCAAAGTATACTCCTATGTTTAAAACTATCTTTAAATGTTCTGAAGCTTAGTGAAATAACGAATAGTAGAGAGACGAATATTCTCACTTACTTTTTGTTTTCATTGACATAAGATACGATATTGTATGTTACAGTTGTTATGTGTCACATTTTTATTGCCATAAGATACGATATTGTATGTTACAGTTGTTATGTGTCACATTTTTATTGACATAAGGTACGATATTGTATGTTACAGATGTTATGTGTCACATTTTTATTGACATAAGATACGACATTGTATGTAACAGATGTTATGTTTCAGGTTTATATTGACATAAGATACGATATTGTATCTTACAGATGTTATGTTTCAGGTTTATATTGACATAAGATACGATATTGTATGTAACAGATGTTATGTTTCAGGTTTATATTGACATAAGATACGATGTTGTATATTACGGATGTTATGTTTCAGGTTTATATTGACCTAAGGTACGATATTGTATGTAACATATGTTATGTTTCAGGTTTATTTTGACATAAGATACGATATTGTATGTTACAGATGTTATGTGTCAGGTTTTTATTGACATAAGATACGATGTTGTATATTACAGATGTTATGTGTCAGGTTTTTATTGACATAAGATACGATGTTGTATATTACGGATGTTATGTTTCAGGTTTTTATTGACATAAGGTACGATATTGTATGTTACATATGTTATGTGTCAGGTTTTTATTGACATAAGATACGATATTGTGTTTTATAGATGTTATTTGTCTGGTTTTTATTGACATAATATATTATATTGTATGTAACTGATGTTATGTGCCAGGTTTTTATTGGCATAAGATACGATATTATATTTTAAAGGTGTTATATGTTCGGTTTTAATTGAATAAGATACGATATTACATATGTTACAGATGTTGTGCGTCAGGTTTTTATTGACATAATATACAATATTTATGTAACCGTTGTTATGTGTCAGGTTTTTTTGACAAAAAAATTATATTTGTAAAATTACAATTTTTAAAGTGTTCAAAAGTTTTTTTTGAATTAATACGATATTGTAATTTCAGATTTAGTTTTCAGGTATGTCTCTAGAGAGGAACTAAATTATGGCCCAATTTTGACCCTCAAAGCTTACAAAAAGTGACGGAAACTTTCACCAAAAAAATAAAACATCAGCACATCGGGAAAGTTTTTAGTGTGAATATATTAAATTAAAAGTAACCTCCAGTAAAAGCCCTTTGTAGATTATTGGGAAATACGTTTTCTTATAAAATAACAACTTTTTGAAAAAACGAATTTTAAAAAATGCCCTTTTAAGAATAATTTATAAAATGCCTTTAATATTTTAAAAAAAGGAAAAAATGGTTCCCTTACATTAATAATAAAATTTTAAAAATTTCCCGTAACAAAAATTTTTTTTTGGTTTTTGATCATAAATATGGGGCTCAAATGAAGATTTATCAATATTGTATGATCCAAAAAGCATTATATTTAAAGATATTGCCGAATTTAACATTTCATGTTAATGAAGGGAGGTAATAAAAATATTTTCTATAAAGTTTAAGTCAAGTTTTACTATAAGAAATGAATGAATATATTTTGATGAATACATATAATATGCACAAATATTTGCAATACAATGTACATATTTTACATAGTCTTCGATGTTTGAAAATTGTTTTATTTGCATAATTATGTACATACATTGTATATATAATTTCACTTAGTTTGGTTTACCACTTTGATCACAACAAACAGAATCTTTAAGGCGTAAAATTTACGTACTTTTTACGTTTAAATAACTTTGATTAAAGTAGTGATTGGAAAGGAAAATGTTATTTCTGTAAACTCGTTTATTAAGTGATTAGATATGTGTATTTTCTTGGCATGTTTTCAGGAGAAAAGTACTGAACATGTCAAGTGGAATACAAGAACCAGGTTCATTAGTTCCAGGACTAGCTGTTGCCCTCCTCGTTGCTTGGATTTTGGTTTATATCTGTATATGTCGAGGTGTAAGGTGGACTGGAAAGGTTTTATTCATTTACTATCATTGTTAATGTATTTTTTCACCTTACTTTTATGTAAGAATGTAATTGTTATACTAAATTCCTCTTTGCGAAAGTGAAGGCTTCTAGAACTGGTAAACAGGCATGACAGCCTGGCAAGAAACGATGTGGTGACTGAACTGTGCTCTGGTGAATTCATGAATTCAAAATGCTTAACTGCCGTGATCACGAGAGTAAACCACAAAAACATCAACACTTTCCGCAGTGAATAAAAATAATGTTTTCGATTAGCTTATAATGATAAAATGCTCTTGATGCCCATTTCTACTTTATCTTACAACCATCTGTTGTCTGATTATATTTATCATATAAACTAATACAGGTATCGGACAAATACATTAAACAATACATGATTTCCTTAGAATTACAAAATGTTAATGTACTTCAATTCTATCTCTCTAACTATTTAAATGCTAGTCTTTTTTCAACAATCATATAAAGTTTTGATAATACTATTACTAGTATCCAAATGATACGTTTCTATTATTTTAACACCTATTGAAAATATGCCCATTGTAGACCATTCCACTTTGCCTTCCTTGAATGTGAACATCGACCTCATGATGATATAACAGAGAACATCGAGAACATATTTGTTGTATTTCACTGCCTGGCGTGAATGCATATACATTTTGTTTATTAGTTACCTACAATATAGACGCCATTTAATTTTTAGTTTTATCAATATGTTTTCATTGTATGTTTTTCTATAAGTTACAGGATTATATATCGAGAACCATTTAATTGTTATAGATTGTGTATATCACCGCCATTGCCCCATACATTCTGCTTACGATTATCTTCATCCGGGGAGTTACATTAAAGGGAGCAGGGACTGGTCTAATATATTACCTTAAACCAGATTTTAGTCGTCTCGCTGATGGTCAGGTATGGATGGATGGAGGAACACAGGTCATTTACTCGATTGGTGTTGGTCAAGGTTTTATGATAACGCTCGGAAGTTACAATAACTTCAAGACAAATTGCGCGAGGTATTAAATATTTTTTGCAATGATTTAAGGAAAATTTACACAGCATTGCATATACATAATTATTGCTTTTAAAATAATCGAATAAAGAAATAATTAAATATTATAAAATGCACTGAACCGTTTTTTCTGTAACATTCATACCAAACAATTATCAGCGTTAAATTCTTATTGTGTTATAGTGTATGCAACAGTTAGTGACTTGAGCAAAAAAGCCAGGTGCAGCACCTGACTGCCCTTTTCAAATAGCTATCTTATCAACAAATGCCCCTCTGAAAAAGAGGGAAAATGTCGTTTTGCAGCATAATGTATGTCAGTCGGTCTGTCTGTCCATCCATCTCTCATTGTTCAAGATCGGGAACTTAATTTAGAAAACTTGAGCCCATTACCCTAAAACTTGGTTTGGGAAGTAGATGACCCATATTGATTATTCGTGTAATGATATCATTTTAACCTTGACCTTTATAATTATGTTAGTACAGTATTATTCTTTAAATGCTCATATATTAGACAGGCGAATCCCGCCATTTACCAGTTCTTAAATTAAACTAGATTAATCTGTGTTCTTCTTATAAATTTACTTTATTTCAAACTGTATATATACGTATAAAAATAGAGCATGTTACAATTGGGTCAAGGGGTCAAAGTCACAATGACCTTGTATTTCAACACCGTTCACGACCAATATCCTGACAACAAATGGGCCGTTTGCCCTCGTAGTTAACGGAAGGATTGATCTTGGACAGTAGATGACCCCTTTCTGACTTTTGGGTCAAAGGCTCAAAGGTGAAGGTCATATGCCCAAAGTTTTCTTGCAACATGTCATGCAAAATTTCCGGAATGCTGACGAGGGGGATACTCCATGCATGTTTCACAAACATCTTTTGTTTAATTTTGAATTGACTACGTAGTATTCTTTGCTGCCTTATGCCATTGAAAGTATAAACATTTTATGGTCGAGGGATTGCATATCTGTTAGGCAACTGTTGGTGACAATTTGTTTAAAACGTTTTCATTTTATGCTCTTTTAAACAACGAAATATGTTATAGCCTTCTTACGCTTACTTACAAAAACTACAATTAAATTATATATATAGTTGATGTTCATGTATTAAACATAGATGGCTATGAAAACATGTGACGTATTTAAATGATGTGTATAAAACGCATTCTTATTTTTTTATGTTACGTGTTAACGTTTATATTCAACATGTGATCATTAATGGTATTTGAAATAATATATTTGTTTTACTTTTTTTTAGGAATGGACTTGTTATCATATTTATAAATTGTCTAACAAGTCTTTTTGGAGGTCTAGCTGTCTTTTCCATTTTGGGATTTATGTCATATGAAATGGAAATTCCAATCGAAAAAGCTGTTTCACAAGGTATAAAGTATCTTAAACTATAATAAATTACTGTTTATGACATGACTTTTTATAAAGATGATACATGAATACAAGTTAATGTGCAGGGGGAATCAGAATAAGTATTTGGCGATGTACGATTCGCAAACAATCTTTGAACATTTGCAGTTAAAACAAAAATATATAATAATAGATAAATAAATAACATTTGTAAAGAAACCAGGTTATAGAATCTATCCTATCATAACGTTACATTTATTTATCAAAAAACAGTCAAGAAATTTACAATTGATATATTAATCGGCCTGTTTATCTATCTATTTCTGAAGTACAGCATTGATAATATTTTCAGGCCCAGGTTTAGTGTTTCTGGCGTATCCAAAGGCTGTTACACAGATGCCAATGTCTCCTCTATGGTCAGTCTTGTTCTTCCTTACAATACTGTTTGTAGGACTGGACAGTGAGGTAATATACACAATTGATATAAAATTTTAAACGAAGCGGGATAAGAAATATGAAGTGTAGTGTTTTTTATATTTGTAAATAATCTTCTCTTTACTGATATCTTTAATTTTCAAAGTTCTTTTTTATTAAGAAATAGGTTCCACATTTTGATTTAATCTACACCTTTTGTAATTAAGAATGTTCGGAGCTTAGATTTTGAAAATGGTGAATATACAGGTTAACATTTTGCACATAACATCATGTAAAATTATATGTAATTCATCGTAGGTCTACATTAACAAATAAAAACTTTGATTCTATTATTCATTCATATACATGTTTCTGAAGCTAGGATTACATTTATTATATCATAACATATTGTATCTAACAGTTTGCTGGAGTAGAAGCCTTCTTGACACCGATTATGGACAAGTTTCCTAAACTTCTTTATAAACCTAGAAATCGTATGATATTTGTGGGGATATATTGCTTCATATGTTTCCTGCTAGGATTATCTATGGTCACGCAAGTAAGTCATTGTGGTTGTCTTCTATTATTGATACACATGTTGATATCTGTACATATACATATCTGACACGTATTCACTAGGAAAGATCTACAATGTACCATTTACTGAGAAATACAGTAACACTAAAATATCTTGTATGATATAAACATGTCTTGGAGTAATATACAAATGCATTTACAAAACTTGCGAAAAGGAACAACAATTACAACAGAAAAAAATAATATTATGGTTTGGTAGAGATATACATGTGTTTTGATGATAATTTGATGCTATTATTTTTCTTCAGGGCGGGGTTTACCTGTTCCGCCTGATAGATTTCTACTGTGTTAGCGGTCTTGTTCTTCTTGCTATGGTGTTCTTCGAGACTGTTGCAATAGGCTGGGTTTTTGGTATGCCAGTTTTACATATATAGTCTAAATTTTTTTTTGAACCTTTATTTCCTTTTTGCACTATAGTCCAGACCATATTCAACGATAAATATGTCTTTGTATGTTTTATGAATAATTGATGTATACTAAAATATTCAAATCCTCATTAATTGTTTAAAGATAATGCATGTGGTTTTGCTTTTTTTTTTAAAATACTACTTTTAGACATAGCTTTGGGCATGTACTTTAAGTCAAGAGAAAAAGATAGAGTAATCAGATCAAACTAATATGTATATTACGTTGATAATTTTAGCTTTTGTAATATATCAGCTTTTGTAATATATCATCGTGATTTTATACTAAGGAATAAAACGTAAGTCGTCTAGCACGTACAAAACTTATACTGTTTTTTTTCCTTGTATCATAGTTTGGGGACCTTTCCTTGTAAATGTGTCAGATTTAAATCGTATACATATACATGCACAGTGCGTTAACTGGAGTGCAGGTATTAGTTACCCGCACTCCAGAGCAGGCCCATTGATTGGCTCATTTTTGCTGGGGTTTACTTATTGTGACGACATAGAAAGGGAAAGCGACAGAAATATCATATTCAAATGCTCGTTCATTGGTTTCTTTTTTCTGGGGTTTCATTTTGTGACAACAGGGAACGTGTTTTTATGTTTGACTATGATACAAAAGAGAAAGAACATCAAAACACCCGGCAATCTGATTAATACTCGGGGGCTACGCCCCCTCGTACAAATCAGATAGCCTCCTGTGTTGATGCTCTTTCTATTACATATAAAATCATTTTTAGTTACGAATAACTTGAATGTATTCTTATCTTTACACAATCCCATTGCTAGAACGTTTGTACAAGTTACTGAGTCTGTGTCCTTGAATAATTTTATTAATGAATGGCAAACTAGCTTATACAATAATACTGTGCCATCTGGGTGCAGTCGTAATAAGTTACGATCATATAAAACTAATAAGTTAGAATATAAAAGCTAACAATACTGTAAAATGATATTGCCACCTGCTCATTGGTCAGCTTTTTATAATTTAGATTAGGAGTTGCGCCAATTCGTATTGAGACCGGCTGTTATGAGGGTCTGAGCATAGAAAATGAATTACATATTTGTTCAATTGTAGTGTTTATGATGATTTATGAGTACATTTGTACTGTAGAGCAAAAGCATGATTATTTGTTCTCTGATAAATATACTTACATGTTTTCCAATAAAGATATAAAATACTGTGTCAAAACCTGTAAAAAATATTTTAGATAGACGTCGTTTTAAACTTTGTAAATAAAATATTGCAATAGATGTGGAAAGTTTTAGTACATCCTTTTATCACCTTATAAATTTATCATTTTATGCTCCCCGAAAAATTTCGGGGGAGCATATAGTCGTCGGGTTGTCCGTCCGTCCGTCAGTCCGTCCGTACGTACGTCCCGAATTCGTGTCCGGCCCATAACTTTGTTATTTGAAGTCGGATTTTAAAACTATTTCACAGAAATGATCACCATATTTAGACGACGTGTCGCGCGCAACATTTGGGTCGCTACCTTGAAGGTCAAGGTCACAGCATGACCTTGCAGCAAAATCGTGTCCGGCCCATTACTTTGTTATTTGAAGTCGGATTTTAAAACTTTTTCACAGAAATGATCACCATATTGAGACGACGTGTCGCGCGCAACATTTGGTTCGCTCCCGTGAAGGTCAAGGTGACAGCATGACCTTGCAGCAAAATCGTGTCCGGGTTATAACTTTGTTATTTGAAGTCGGATTTTAAAAATATTTCACAGAAATGATCACCATATTGAGACAACGTGTCGCGCACAACATTTGGGTCGCTACCTTGAAGGTCAAGGTCACAGCATGACCTTGCAGCAAAATTGTGTCCGGCACATAACTTCATTATTTGAAGTCGGATTTTACAACTATTTCACAGAAATGATCACCACAATGAGACATTGTGTCGCGCGCAACATTTGGGTCGCTACCTTGAAGGTCAAGGTCACGGCATGACCTTGCAGCAAAATCGTGTCCGGCCCATAACTTCGTTACTGGAAGTCGGATTTAACAACTATTTCACAGAGATGATCACCATATTGAATCGACGTGTCGCATGCAACATTTGGGTCGCTACCTTGAAGGTCAAGGTCACAGCATGACCTTGCAGCAAAATTGTGTCCGGCACATAACTTCATTATTTGAAGTCGGATTTTACAACTATTTCACAGAAATGATCACCACAATGAGACATTGTGTCGCGCGCAACATTTGGGTCGCTACCTTGAAGGTCAAGGTCACAGCATGACATTGCAGCAAAATCGTGTCCGGCCCATTACTTTGTTATTTGAAGTCGGATTTTAAAACTTTTTCACAGAAATGATCACCATATTGAGACAACGTGTCGCGCGCAACATTTGGTTCGCTCCCGTGAAGGTCAAGGTCACAGCATGACCTTGCAGCAAAATCGTGTCCGGTCCATAACTTTGTTATTTGAAGTCTGATTTTAAAAATATTTCACAGAAATGATCACCATATTGAGACGACGTGTCGCGCGCAACATTTGGGTCGCTACCTTGAAGGTCAAGGTCACAGCATGACCTTGCAGCAAAAGTGTGTCCGGCACATAACATCATTATTTGAAGTCGGATTTTACAACTATTTCACAGAAATGATCACCACAATGAGACATTGTGTCGCGCGCAACATTTGGGTCGCTACCTTGAAGGTCAAGGTCACGGCATGACCTTGCAGCAAAATCGTGTCCGGCCCATAACTTCGTTACTGGAAGTCGGATTTAACAACTATTTCACAGAGATGATCACCATATTGAATCGACGTGTCGCATGCAACATTTGGGTCGCTACCTTGAAGCAAAATCATGTCTGGCGCATAACTTCGTTATCTGAAGTCGGATTTTACAACTATTTCACAAAAATGATCAACATATTGAGACAATGTGTCGTGTACAATATTTGGGTTGTTTTTACACTTTGAACTTTGTCTGTGACATGACTCTGACACAACAAGAGGTATACCTTCCTGTGTCCAAAACCTATTCGGGGAGCATCACCCGGTTCAACCGGCTCTTGTTTTATTATATATGTCAAAAATTTCTTAAATACATGTAATCCGATGTCGTTATTCGTGCTTTTTTTATATACAATTTAACTAAAAATAATTGTTTTATGTCATTCTTGTACAGTATTTTAACACCATGTTTAGTTTAGATAAACTGTTCTGTTAAAATGTAATTTCTCATGGCCATCTCTTAAAATTCCATATGGAATGGCATCGCATCTATTTATTTTGTTGTCAAAGATATATGTATGTTTTTATCATTTATATTCAATGATGAGATGTAAATAAAAATACTACTACTACTTTAAAAATTTATATACTTATCATACTGGAACGGTTAGAATAAAAACGACGATGATATAAAAATTAAAGAATTCTGTCCACGCCGCCCACTATTTCAAGTTTTTAGAAAGAATTAAATTGTTTGATAGATTAATTTTCATGCTTTTTTAATTTGGCATCATACAAAATTAATAGAACATTTCATACCTTTCAGGGGCAGATCGATTTTATGACGCTCTAGAAATGATGATTGGCTATCGATGTGGACCGTGGCTAAAAATATCTTGGAAATTCTTGGCTCCATTAGTAATTAATGTAAGCAACAGGTTTATGATGTTCTCACATGACGTTATCAGCACACATGCATACAAACAAAGATCAATTAACCTTTATAGGCGTTTGTAAGATAAGACCAACGATCATGATCTAAACTAAACTAAACATTGAATGTTCTATGACAAACTGTCGTATGAACACATCTGCGGATGTTTCTTAATTCAAATTTTTACTGTTTCATGTTCTGCTTAAATCGGTGCTGGGGGGGGGGCATGGACGGTAGTTTTCACTTGACAGTGGCTCAGTCAAACCGAGCCTGCAACATTTTCAGTTTTGCTTTGGGCTTTATTTAGAGATACTAATTTTCCCTGTCTTACCAACATTATCAGTTATCGTCGTCACTTCTTCATGACACTATGCTCGGTATCTTAAAAAATATAATTACATTTTATAGAAGACAAAAAAAACCCTGAAATTACAGATCATGAAATGAAGAAACATGTTGTTGAGAGGTTGTTGGTGTTATTTTAAGACATTGCGTATCTTTCTTATGAGTAAAATTCTTAACAGTTGTCTTAGAGTCATATGTAAATTGTACATGTAAATATTGGTATTGTTACATTCACCATTAGTTGTACATTTCAGGGTATATTCTGGTCCCAGTTGGTGCAGTTCAGACCTCTAACATTTGATGATACCTATGAATATCCGACTGGTGCAACAGTTCTTGGTTTTATTTTCACCTTATCATCAATCTCGTGTGTTCCTATAGCAGCAGTTTATTATATCGCTACAGCAAAAGGTTCACTGAAACAGGTTAGTTTTAATGCACTCACAGATAAATAAAAACAAATGTTTGGCAATACTTCTAAACTAAATGAACCATTTTGATTTGAAAATAAACTTGCACGCTAGGTGCAATATCTAAATATTCAAACACATTTTACTTTAAATTTTAGAGACTTCAAAAAGTGACAACTCCATTGCTTAAGAAACACCAGGTAGACCCGAGATGGAAGGAGTCAGATTACAAATGGAAACTGGAAGAATATAAAATGCACGATGTAAATAATCCATTTACTATAGATGATGAGATCAGCAGTACAAGTATGGACTAAGCATTGAGGACTTGGACATATTTTGTTAATAGTGCCTGTCTAAATGACTTGTTTATTCAATGCTGATATTAAGTGTTTCTTCGATAATAAAGGGATGTCGTGGAGATTAACGGATAACACAATTATACCTCACTGCCTGAAGGCATGTCGCACCCATAAATTGGTTGTATATTTGAAAAAAATTGATTATCCTTTTGGCGATTAGACAATAATTGATAATTGCAAAGGTTTAGGATAAAATATAAAAAAAACTGCCTAAAATATAAAAAGATTGCCCTACTCTTTTTGTAATTGAACATTACCGATAATTTCCAAAGGATATTATTAAATATTGATGTGAACCATGGGGTATTAATAACTTAGGCGACGTTTATTATAAACTTGTAAACAAATATGACCAAATGTAATTTCAGTTTTATTTAAACACTCACCGTAAACTGTTGGATGGGCATACTGTCACTTTAAGTAAAGAACTTAGTTAGTAAATATATTAACACAAACACCCCGCGTTTTTTTTATTGCACATCATACTCATAAATGTTATTAAGTCGTGGTTGATATGAAATGTGTCCTATGGACACATTATCTAGTTAACTATATGTGTATATGTCAAGTATATCAATTTTTATAGACTTTTTTCTGTTTTCTATTCTTCTCTGATTTTTCAATATGTAATGATTAAAGCACCTATGCATAGATCCCTGACATGTTCGATTAGATGATACAATAAGATTTTCACCACAACATATTTGTTAACAAAAGAGCACAGGTTAAATCTATTGTTATTCAAATAAAAGGTCAGAGTTGGGATCCATCACTTGAATGTATTTGTCAAATAATCACTCAGCAGAAGAATTTTATGACACATTTTGTTATAATCCTATTTTGTAAGAATACTTGTTTGTGTATATTGTAAACTGTATCATATTTATATAATCCGAGAAATAAAATATAAACTACTATTTGTTATATGACATATATAACGCTACTTCTGTTGTGCAGTTCATTCGACATCTAAATATATAACAACATATACAAATCTGGAAAAAAGTGATCCCTCGGGAGCATTAATCACAACAAAATTACAAGAGAATTGCAGACTCGGTTTGATTGAGCCTGTACACGAGGGATACTGAATAAAAGCAACATCCCTCACGCCCCCTAGCACCGGCTTGAGCGGTAGTCATATCTCAACACTTAATAGTGCTGGCATCAATGATCCCGAAGGACCAGAAAAATATAACAACACTGAAGCGAAGTACGGGGCAACTTTTTACAGCTGCCGCACAGCAATTGACACCTGCTATTGTGAAGTATAAAAATATAAGCATAATTCTAAACATTGTGCAAACCTCACCTGTTTCTAAAAATGTTTCACGCTAGATTCTATTGTTATCTGTACGAAATCTGCTGTGGGCATAGTATTATTTTTACAATAGCTTTAGCTCTTACATTTGGTTTGCTATTGCTGAACATGGTCATGCAACTACATAGTTAGATAAAGAAGCAGACGCTTGTTTTGGTTGAGTCTATTATGTTTTGTTTAGGGGGTGAGTTGTCATACACAAATTTACAATTTATATGCATTTATTTTTTTTCCAATGATGGTTATTATCTTAAATGCTTCTGGGATTGTTGTTTTATCAATTTATTTGTAAATAAGATTGTTATATGTCTATTAACGGAATAATTTTAATGAACACGAAATTAGTTCACACCTTTATGTGTATTGATAACGTGATGGTTTAAGCCAATGAAAACACATCAATATTATTACAATCAGGCAGAGTAAAAGTTTGCAAAGAGTAAATCGATAATCTTTATGTAGCAAACAAACTTTGAATTGCAAGGATTTTTTCAGACTCCTCCTTCATACATAATGCCTCCTATGTTCCAATATCCACCCTTTGTGCAAGGGGTAAATAACATGGCAACCCCAGGGGCACCTGTATCGACCCAGCAAAACAGCATAAATATTGACCCCTTACAAACTATTATACAAAAATTGGAGCATATTGACATGAAGTTAGGTCAGCTTGATAAAATTCAATTATTGGTTAGTGATTTAACGGTGAGAATCGACGAAATGGACAAGAAAGTGTGCGAAATAGAGCGTAGCCAAAAGTTTATCGGTGATCAGTACGAGACAGTGTCAAAGTGTACAAACAGTAATAAAATTAGTATTCAGTCAGTCAAACGAGAAGTCAAAGAGCTACAATATGTGAATGCGGAACTGAAAACAAATAGTGAATCTATGGCCGAATCTATTGTTGATTTAAAATGTAGGTCTATGAGAGACAATCTATTATTTTTTGGCATCCCAGAGGGAACTGTGTCGGGTTTCAATCATGTACCTAGGGCTTACTCATATAAAAGAGGAGATGCAAACGAAAACCCACCACCCGCACAAAACTCCACCGAGGATACCCTTACATATTCCGATTGCACCAGTAAAACCATTGTCACGTATGACTGCGTCGCTAAAGTCAATTTGTTTTGTAAGCAGATATTGAATATTGAAAATCCAGAAACAACCCTAAATATTGACAGGGCACATAGGGTAGGTGCCCATAACCCGGATAAAACTCGTCCGATAGTAGTAAAATTTAGTACGGACTCAAAAATGACTGTGAAAAACGCATTAAAGAGCATCAACTTATATCAGACGCCATACAATGTTAGCGATCAGTTTCCGCCCGAGGTACAACAACGAAGACGTGAATCGATTCCCAAGATGTTGGAGGAACGCCGTGCAGGAAAGAGGGCCGTTCTAGTCAGGGACAAACTGTTCATAAATAATGTACTATATAAACCTGAAACAACAACACATAATGACAGCTAGGAATGCGCAGAAAAGTTTGACTTAAGTTTATTATCTTGGAACATTGAAGGGTTTATCCACCTGTCTCGATGATGAAGACTTTCTAAATTTCATTTATAATTATGACATAATTTTTTTCAGTGAAACTTCGGAACGTAGCAATGATAATTTTACACTAGATGAATACGAATGCTTATCAATACCTAGAACAGAATCGCTTTCAAACCGAAGTAGAAGAGGTCATGGTGGAGTGTGCCTGTATTACAGGAATTTTCTGAAGGATGGAATCGAAATTGTTGAGACTGACAGTAACGGCATAATATGGGTTAAATTAATAAAAGACTTTTTTCCAAAATGATTTTTATGTATTTCTCTGCTTTATGTATATACCACCTAGTAATTATGTTTATTTTAATATACACGATATTGGTTTTTTTGAAGCACTTGAAATAGGTGTCCGAAAGTATTCTCAATGCGGTAAAATAGCGGTTTTAGGTGACCTGAATTCAAGATGCGGTAATAGGTCAGACATTTTAGAAGAAATTGATCATTTTAACCGTTATATTTATTCGATGGAAAATTGTGATATGAATAACAGTAATATTGGTATACCCGATAGAAAATCAATGGATAGTACTGTCAATTCTTCGGGAAATAAACTTCTTGATTTATGCTTGAGTACTGATCTTAAAATTATAAATGGCAGATTAGGGAATGATGCAGGTATAGGCAATTTTACCTTTATGTCTAATACAGGTAAAGTCTAATTGATTATGTGCTTATGCAGTGTGAGTTATTTCCCTTTGTACATGAATTTAAAATACATGATTTGTTTACCTTTTCACATCATAAACCTGTTCAACTTGATCTGAGTTTTGCATGTATATCGAAAATCATTGATAATGAAAGTGTTAGTATTAATGTATTAAAATGGAATAACGAAGATAGAGACAAGATTGATAATTACAAAGAATTGATTGAGATTGAAATTACGAACATTGACATGATTGTGAATAGTGTTATTAAAAATGATGTTGAATTAGATATAGGTATAAAGAAAATATCAGATGTTTTGTATGAAAAATCATTTAGTATATTTGGAGAGTCAAAAGAAATAAGAAAGAATACAAATAATAGAAATAAAGAAAATTTAAAAGTTCATGGTTTAATCAAGACTGTGAGAACGCTAGAAAAGAGTTTAAACGTGCAAATAAAAATTATTGTAAGAACAGGTCGAATCAAAATAAAGAGTTACTTGTTGATAACAGACGTCTTTATAGAATAGCTAAGAGGCGAGCACGAACTAAATTTCATTTAAATCAGAGAAAGAAAATGTCATTTTTAGCTGGCACGCATCCACAAAAGTTTTGGAAGGAAATAAAAAAAATGAGAAAGAAATCAAGCAAAAATGAACTGTCATCGGAAGAATTTTTTGAGCATTTAAAAAACTTATTTTCAAACGAAGAGACATTCAAAAATAATTTTGTTGAGGAACATTTAGATAATAATGATACATTTTACAATAATGTTGAAGAACTTGACATGGATTTTACGATCGATGATGTGATAAAGTCTATTTCTTCCCTTAAGAGTGGTAAAAGTGCTGGTATAGATAAACTTATTCCGGAGATATTTATAGAATGCAAAACAATTTTAGCCCCAATATTATGTAAATTGTTTAATCATATTTTCAATTCAAATGAATATCCTGAATCGTGGTGTAGTGGTATTATTGTACCAGTGCCCAAGAAGGGTAACCTAAATGATGTGAATAATTACTAGTATATTTTCTAAACTTTTCTCAATATTGTTAGACATGAGATTACGTAAATGAGCCGAAAGTAATGAAATATTGAATGATTTCCAGTATGGTTATAGGAAAGATAAAAGTACTACTGATTGCATTTTTGTTTTATGTTCAATTATTAATAAGATAATACGTCATGAAAAAAAAGGTGTATGCATCATTTATTGATTTCAAAAGATGTTTTGATATGTTATACAGAAATGGAATATGGTTTAAATTGATTGAATCTGGTGTATCATATAAAGTTGTAACAATGTTACGAAGTATGTATAATTGTGTGAAATCTTGTGTAAGAGCAAATGGTTGCCTGGCAGATCATTTTGAGAGTTATATGGGCTTAAAACAAGGGGAACCACTCTCACCATTGTTATTTATTTTCTTCGTAAATGATATGCACGAAAATTTACAAACAGATATTGTTGATACATTTTCATTAGATAATATACAAATATTTTTACTATAATTTGCGGACGATACAGTTTTATTCTCTTATTCTAAGGAAGGATTGCAATGCCTCCTCAATAAACTTCATACATATTGTACTAAGTGGGGTATTGTGGTGAATGTAGATAAAACGGTTGCTATGGTTTTTAAATCTGGAAATAGAAATGAAAATGTAGAGGTATATTACAGTAATGAGCAACTAAGCGTTGTTAAGTCATTCACATATCTTGGTGTTACATTATCGTCTAATGGGAATTTTTATCAAGCCCAAAAGGCGTTATCTAATCAAGCGCTTAAAGCACTATACTCTGTTAATTCTCTATTTGAATCAAATTCCCTTAATGTCACAGAAAAAAATCAAAATTTTTGATAGCATGGTTTTACCTATTCTTACATATAGTTCAGAGGTATGGGGTTTTCATAAGGCACCAGACATCGAAAAGGTACATTTGAAATTTTTAAAACAAGTTCTTGGTGTACGTCAGCAAACTACAACATCAGCGGTTCTTGGTGAATTTGGACGATTTCCATTATTAGTTCTGCGAAAAGTCAGAATTGTTAAGTACTTGTACAGAATTATGAAATCCCCAAACTCTCTTTTATACAAGTTGGTATTTTTAAAAGATGCAAATGGTAATTTGTTAAATAGCTGGTCAAAAAATGTTTAAAATATGTTGTCAGACTTAGGTTTTTCATATCTATGGAACAATGATAATATTTCACTTGTGCATGTTAATACTATTATACAAAGAATTTATGATCAGCAGCTACAGCAATGGTGTGCCGAACTTAATACTTTCTCAAAGTTAGAAAGTTATAATTTGTTTAAAATTGAATTTACCCAAGATAAATATTTAAGTTGTATTAATAATGTAAAACATCGTAAAATG